CTCTTTGCCATGCCTACACATATGGTTCCATATCAAAGTGCGCTGGTCATTGTAGCTGATGGACAGCGGGGGCACCCGCCGAAGTGGGGGCGCACTCACGACTCCGATACCGAGGAAACGTACTACGTCCCAATGTCCACCATGGTCGAAGACGACAGCTACGGACTGGACTCAGATGAAAATGGTCGATCTGTCGTATTCTGCTTTACGACAGACATGTCAAAGGTAGTCTTGTCCGAACAACAACATATGATACTAGATGCCGACCGGGTGACCAATATGCGAGTATACGTAACCGCCGCTGCAGAGCGAGCTGTGGTCGTCAAGGAGGACGACCTCCTCGCTAAAGTTGACTTACAGGCGAATCCCGATAAAGTATCGAAGGCCCTCTACACTGAACTCAAGACACGGTTCGATAACAAGTGCTTTAAGATGCAAGATGTGGCTAAAGCGTCGAACATCATGACTTCGAGATACGTGCACAAATTGGAAGTTCGTGGAGAACGATAAGGGCGAGATGGAACGTACCATCGGACTACGCTTGCTTCTCCGAGGTTTCATGGACCTTTAAGCCTTCGACGTAGACGCATGTCCGGGAACTGCGCGACGGCCAAGCCAGAGTTTACTCGCCAGCACGGCAGCGTGCAAGAAGCAATGGGTCAGTGCTTCCCTCGACATCAACATGGCCTTCCTGGAGGGATTGACCTATCAGGAACTTGCTGAGGCTACTGGTGAAAAGGAACGCCAGGACAGCCCAGCGGTGCTGAAGCAGAAGCTCGCTGACATGCGGGCCGACCGCAACCGCCACAAGGAGCGCGCGGACGCGCTGGAGAGGTTCGTCGCCGTCATCGCCAATAAGAGCGAGGCCAACAAGCACGTGAACAGGATCTTCGTGGACGTGCGCAAGTTGTGGGTCTCGCGCACTAGCACCGAAATGCAGTGCAAGCCGACGGTGCTCGGGCGGCGCAAGGGGCTCTCGCATCTCCCCGAAGTCGTGGAGGCTAAGGACGCGGGCGACGACGACGACGACGACTCGTCCCAGGGAATGCCTTCGGGCTCAAGCTCAGCGAGCTAGCTGGCTGTGCAGCTGAGAACGGGCTGCCCATGGGCAGCGACTGCCGCGGTGGACAGTGATCGTTGCTGTGGGCTATTGCCGCTGTAGGGCGAGTGCCGCCCATGACGACGCCCACAACGGCCCATGCAGATGCCGACAATAACGACCACAGCCCACCGTCCATAAGGTTCAGTAGCTCATTCTTGAGGTGCCACGCGAGTTCCCGTAGCATGGTGCGCGCCATATAGTTGAGACGATGCTTTTCTTTGTGTTGCATCACGTTGTGCTGCTGATTGTGTTGCGGATGAGGAGGAGAAGGGTGGGTGGGAAGGATGAGGAAGAGTTTTGCGACGCATGCACCATGCATGTGGGGCGAACCCCAATATGCTACGCTATATGCAATGTTATGCTATGCATTTCGCTGGCGTTTGTAAAGCAGTGCTGCTATATTGGCCCACCCTTATCCCAAACCCAACATGGTCTCAGCAATCAAGCCATTTCAGATCGCATGTGCCGCCGTTCTCCTCACCCACCCCCCTTCTTCTCCTGGCTCCGCGCCCCCCCTCGTTCATCTCATGGGGTGGCCCCCCGCCCCCCCCCCCTCCCCATGTATCGTCAGCGTGAAGTCGGGGGGGGGATGGACAAGAGTGCGAGCTGCGCTGCAGCGCGAGGAAGGCTTTAAAGTCAACAGGGAGCCCCCGCTATAGGAAAATGAGTCCGGACATGTGAGATGTCATGACGCCGGCTCAAACCTAAGGTTGTTATGCCATGCGTGCGGCCCGATTCAATGCCATGCTAAACCGTGGCGTTCTAGGACACGTTCAGCATCGCCCCTACCCCAAACTTCATAATGATATTTTGTCAAACAGTTGCAGTCAATGTACGTATGTTGTCGTCATCCTCGCCCACCTCCCTCCTCCTTCTCCTGGCTCAGTGTCCTCCCTCACTCGTCTCATGGGGTGGCCCCCCACCTCACCCCTCTCCATATGTCGTCGTCCACAGCTTGCCACGCGCAGCATATACCACGCAACCGCATGACAAACATGTCAAGCATGATGGCAAGCCACAGGCCATGGACACGGGTAGCCCTCGACGCCCTTATAGAGCCATAGCGGGCACCCGATGTTAGGTCTCATTGGGGCCTCGGGCGTCAGAAACCCCACGCGGCCAACGCCGCGCGTCCAAGACATGCGGCCCCGATGGCCCCCAACCCAGGTATGACTTCCATGCCCCCCCCCGCGCCCCCTCCCTCCCGACACCTCCTCCGTGTCAGCCATTGACGCTGTAAGCGCGAAGCCGTGCTTCGCGCGGCGGCCGCCGTGCTTCGCGCGGCGTCGGCGCGCGATCTTCTCGCAGCGGCGGGGGCGGCGCGGTTCGCGCAGCGGCGGCGCCTGCATCGCGGAGGCGACTGCATCGCGAGGGCGACTGCGTCGCGGAGGCCTTCGCATCGCGGAGGCGACTGCATCGCGGAGGCGACTACATCGCGAAGGACATGGTGCTCGAGCGCAGGCGGCATGACAGATGTCTTTCGCAAGGACTTGGTGCTCGAGCGCAGGCCGCAGCGCCCGCAGCAGCCCGATGGCCCGCCGCCCACCAAGCTTCGCCTCACCGTGGCTGATCCAGCGGCGCGTGATCTGGCAGAGCCTTGCAAGAAGGTCGGGCCGGCGGAGTTCAGTCCGTTCAGGAACGCCACCTTGGTCGCGATGACGGACGACGTGGCCAACTCCGAGTTTCTCTCGTCGCGCGACGAGGCCACCCTGCGGAGCGCGCAGACTTGCACGGGCCTCTACTTCAACACTGGCCTCGAGCACGGTGGCGGCTACGCGTGGAAGAGCGCCCGCAAGACGGACATCGGCGGTGAGGCCGCCCACGTGTACATCTTCCGCAGCGAGGGCGGCTGGCGCGGCAGCGACGCGATGTGGTCGACCGTTGCTCAGAGGAAGGAGTACCAGAACGAGGCCAGCACCTTCTTCTGGAGCGAAAGCGCGGGGGCCGAGTTCGAGGATGCTCCTGCGACGGCGTTGCACTTCCCGTGGTGGAGTTCGTCGGAGTCCGATGGCGTGCAGATCCTCAGCGGCCAGGCGGCGCACGAGGCGCTGCTCTTGCAAAAGGCCCGACTGCGGTGGTGGAGGCGACGCGGACAGCTCTGGCGCCAAGAGCGCCAAGGGCAGGGGCGGTGGTGGAGGCGACGCGGACAGCTCCATGGGCGGCGGCGGAGGCGGCGCGGACAGCTGGAAGGGCGGCTGGAAGGGCGGCTGGCGGGAGGCGCCGCGCGGCAAGGGCGGCCGCGGCGGCTGGATGCCGAGGCGCGCAACCTTGATCAGCTGCCACGAGAAGGCTGACCACGCAGCGTTCGAGGAGAACGCCAGGAAGTTCAAGGAGAGCAGCTCGGCGCTGCGGAAGCTCCTCGGTGAGCAGTAGGGCTCATAGGTTCAGCGTTTGACTACCAAGACTTGGTGGTCAAACGGCGGCGCCTTGCGTTTGACTACCGAAACTTGGTAGTCAAACGCAGGGTCGTCGCCGTTTGACTACCGAGACTTGGTAGTCAAACGCAGGGCCGCCTCCGTTTGACTACCGAGACTTGGTAGTCAAACGCAGGATCGCTGCGTTTGGCTCCTAAGACTTGGTAGTCAAACGCGTTCGGCCTTCAGAAGGTCCGCGCTCCGCGGCGGCGCCGCGGGGGCCTGTCGGGCTCGTTGGGGCGCCTCCAGGGGCCGATCAGATCAGAGTCGGCATCCATCTCAGGGGGTGGCGTTCAAGCCCTGGCCCCGCCTCTGTTCGAACACCCATCGGCCTCCAAGGAGGCCTATGCCCAAGGGGCAGGAGGGCCATGGGGAGGGATGGCGAGGGTGACAATGGCGGGGAGGAGGAGGGGGAATGAGGATGACGAGAGGGAGAAGGAGGATTGGCATGCCCCTCTGTCGGCCCAATCGGGCCTCCCCCACCCGCCCCCTCACCCGGTCTGATGGCTTCTGGAGGCGACCCGTCCACTTATAGACAGGCACTTCTTTGCCATGAAGCGCCGAGCCACAGGGAAATGGTTGGCCATGCTTCGTCCAGGGATTTTAAGTTCACAAGTTTTGTGAGAACGCGCTCCTGAAAAAATATTGTGGTGGTTCGGCGCAGGCGCGTTTGATCGGAGCATCTCAGCCCTGCGCATGGCAACGGCGCCAGCGCGGGGCCGCGGCGCGTGCGCCGTCGGTGTGCATGACGCGGGCAGCGCGCGTCGCAACACATACCAGCCCCCTCCCCCCCCTCCTCCTCCTCCGCCTTCTCCGCCTTCCCCCCTCCATCCTCCCCCTCCTCTGCCTTCGCATCCTCCTCCTCCTCCTCCTCCTCCCCCTCCCTCCCCCTCGCATGGCAGCTCCTCATCCTCCTGCTCCTCCTTCACCCCTTCCCCCTCCTCCTCCTGTTCCTCCTCCTGCTCCTCTTCTTCCTCCTCCTCCTCATCCTGCCCCTCCTCCCCTTGTTCTTCCTTCGCCTCGCGCCC